TTTATAAGCAAATTCACATTTTTGTTATTAAATTTGCTTATAAAAATATGAAATTTTGAAAAAATACGAAATGAATCAAATATTTTTTTCTTTAATTTTTATAAATATTTAAATAAAAATTATGAATTTTTAATTATTATAATTTTTATTGTCTTTTATGTATTTGTTCTGGATTTTATTGTTTATGTGGGGGAGAAATCCATTTTTATAGACATTTCCTACTGTAAATATATAAATAATTTTTAAAAATTTCTAAACGCTTATAGAAGTATTATGAATTTATAATTTGATAGAAATATAATTATATATACAGTTAAACTTCGATTTAGTGAACCTCTAAAACTAGTTTGCCTCTAAAATTGGCGCTAAATTGCATATAACAAGTCAAACAATTATACATATTTTATTCTCGTTGTCTGAAGTACTTCAGTTTAGCACTTTGCACTCGATTTAGCGCCTATTCAGCACAAGAGTAGTTCGTTACTTACAAGCTAAGCAAGCTACAATTTAGGGCCTTACTTTTTTTTAAATTTATAATTATTTACTAGGAAAGGGGCCTCTGAGAAGATATATCTTAGGGCATTTAAAAAGCATGTTCTAACTAGATAATTAAGTAACAGAATTAATTAATTTACTTGTTTAGGTACAAACAATTGACAGTGCATTATTCAGTGGAAGGATTATTTTTAAAGAATTTTTCTCAATCATCAAACAACATCAAGACACAAAAATTCTTTTAAAAAAATATATTTAAATTTTATTTTATACTTTAACAATTATTTTTCTCAAGAGAAATTTTATTATTAGCTTCAACTACTTTAATTTAAAGTAGTAGAAGATGAAAAAAACTTTACTTAAAAGACTAATTAGTGAATTTTAATTAAACAAAATATATATTAAATATTTTAAAGGGATGTAATGAAAGAATTCAAGCAATTTGAATATGTTTAATTATCTTTTATACATTAGAAAAATAAAATAAAATAATTAAAATTAAATCAATTTTTATGAGTATTATTTTGATTAAAATTTGATTTTTAATATTTTAATAATCGTTGAGTTATAGAATTAATTTAATCCTGTTGTTTAAAATACATAAATTTTAATGAAAAAGTAAGGTTCAGTGATGAAGGTTCTACAAGTAATCTGTCAGGAATCCAGTCAGGATGCTTCATTAACATTTTATTAATTTTCATATCATTTTTTCTTTTTTTCCCCCTTTTTAATTTTCCTTTCTTTATAAACTCTAATGAATTTATTCTTTAGTTAAAACTTTAAATGAGCTTCACATTTAAAAAAAGAAAATTTTATGTACTTAACTTTACAAACATTGAACATCAGATAAAGTGTTTACATTAATAAAACTTTATTAAAACTGATTTTAAAAATTGCCTACAAGACTTGAGAAATTTATAAGAGTTTAATTTTTAAATTTAAATTTTAAAAAGTGTGAAGAATCTTTTTAAAAAAACAAAAATCCAGGAAATGGTTGCGTAACTTTTCCGCCAAAACAAAAGTTAAAACTGCGTGTGGTGCTATCTGTTTTGAGATTTTATTATTAAAAACTTTTTATATTATTAATTATTATAAAATGGAAAAAAGCTAATTTTGAGGGTAGGATGGGTTTTATAAAAACAATTGTAAATGCAATAACGAGCAAAGTCGTCATTAAATCTGATCCTATTGGCGAAGGTGTGGGGAGATTGGCTCCTTTATCTCCCCACACCTTCGACCTTTAATCACCAAAATTTAACAGAATCAATCCCCCTAATACAAAAATCTTCTTGCAAAATTTCAGAAATTTTCGATAAAAAGCATAGGAGTTATTAAGCTTCAAACAGGGTAAACAAAATCGTGCCACACACCACACACTAAACATGCAGAAATTACCCCCGAATTTTTTTTGCATTTCTGGACGTTTTAAGGTGTCTCGAGTCCAAAACTATAAAAATATGGGGATTATTTTTTGATCGATCGCCATATTTTCCTTCTGTTATATAACAGCCGGTAAAGTAAAAATGTGAAGAAATCTTTTAATAAAC